ATTACTCCCTCCAGTAAAAAATAATTGATGTTTTAGCCTCTAAAAGTTGGTCCAAAATAATTGATGTTTAACATAACCAATTCTTTTCCCCAAATTTGTCCTCGATACATTCCTAATCCTGTAATCCCGATGATAATTATGTCAACCAAAAAATAAAAGAAAATCATAATTAAGGGTATTTTAGTCAAAACCCTTCTTAGTTTTTAGGAGTAAGTGAATTCCTAATTCATTATTCATGTGCCCAAGCCTAAAACATCAATTATTTTGGACCAGAGGGAATATTTATTTAATTTTAGTGAAGCGATTCCAGTAGAGAAATGATTCTCTCAGGTATTAGTACATTAAAACTGTCTTTCTTCTCATTGTGTATATATGCTAGCAAGTTGCTGAGGTTCCTTCATCACGCTTGGCTCCCTATTATTTGTAATCCCGAAAGAGCCGCTAAGTGACTGTACATCTGTCTTCTGCTCTCCCTCAATAAAAAAATTGAAGGTTGTGAAGAAACCATATTGTTTACAGAATGACTAACCTCATTATCTGATTCTCCGTCACTTAGCTGCAGCTTGTGCCTACCTGCCCAGTCATGTTCGTTTTCTGTTCTGAAATAAATTAAATTAGGAGACACGTAACTGGTGTGATATATAGTAGTCGTGGTATTTCTCAAGTAGCTTCTTGTCCAAAAATTTCTGTTACTATCTACTGTCTCTTGTATTTTGATTATCACACTTTTTTGGTGTAGTTAATGTTCCTTTTTTTAGAATGTTTTGTATAGTATTTTGCCATTATCTCTTCACTTCTGTTATTTTTTTTCCGATCTGCTTTGATATACTTTTCCTTGAGCCAGGGGTCAATCGGAAACATCCTCTCTACCTCCCAAGGTAGGGGTAAGGTCTGTAAACATTCTACCCTCTCAAGACTCCAGTTATGGGATTACACGGGATATGTTGTTGTTGTATAACTGATGTGATTAATAGTACATGTAGTTTCGTCTGCTTAATTTCCCACAACCCAAGAAGTGCACTGTTTTAGTTCTATTACCCTATGCTTTCTTTTTTGATAAGGCGTCCTATTACCCTCTGTTAAAAGGTTGCACTGCTGGTTTATGATGTCGATCTTCCTCAAATTATCTCTTAAAGCAGAAAAATAGGAGTTATAGTAGTTTCAGCTATTCGATTCGAATGAGTGCCCTCACTTCCTTTCCTTACTACGATATGCCCCAAAAAAAGAAAAAGATTGCTTACCCTGTATCCTCAATTATTTATGATTCATAGTATGAAACTTAAGCTCCTAGCCTTAAATTGGTAAGCTGCAGTTATTTAGAATAATAGTCTCATAGTTTATTTTCTCTCCAAAGCAGGTAAATACTTCCTAATATTGAAACCTTAAAACAAGTATTCGCCCTTTTTAGTTCTGGGGCCTGGTGAAAAGATGGCTTCCAGAAGACAAGTACCAGCATCATATGGACGGTCACTACAAGCTCCAGGAATGGTGCTTCATGAAGAATTGGCTGCTGGCAGCCGCCGCATTGATCCATTTCCTCCTCCTGAGCTTTGGCACAACAGATTTGGTGCTAGGGCTGCAGAGCTAGAACACCTTGCTGGAGACCATCATCGGTTGGCAGCTACATATGTTGCCTTAAAGCAGGATCTTTCTGCTGCTCAGCGAGAGGTACTGAAACTCGATGAACATATAAGAAGTACTCAAACAGAAAGTGACATCCAGGTCCGGTTGTTGCGTGACAAGATTGCCAAGATGGAGGTGGACCTTAGAACCGTTGAGAGTACGAGGAAAAATTTGGAAGAGGTCCATTTGGAAGCACGAAGCTTGGTATCAGCCAATATGGAGCTGAGCGGAAAAATACATCACGTTATGCAGGAATTGGAAAAGGCTCATGCAGATGTCAAGAAGCTACCTGAGATGCATGCTGAACTTGATTCCTTAAAGAAAGAACACCAGGAGCTGCGGTAAGTTGAAACATGTCTCTTTTACCAACCTTCCTCCAGGAAAAATAAACCACAGGTCACTACTATTTAATTGTCTTGACTTGCTGTTTAGGTGGAAGCACGAACAGATTCCTTACCCATTAATTACCCTTGAAAGAGCTTCCCCTACCCATTACCCTTGAATGGATTTGGTTGACTCTTCAAAAATTTCAATGGTTGTGTGCCGGATACTCCAAAACTAGTGTATTTTTGGAGAATCCGACATGGGTGTGGCATCATTTTTGGAGAGTCCGGCAACATTGATGTATGGCTATATATCAATCAAGTATGCATCATTTCCAAACTAGTCGGGCTGGCTTTACAAATTCTTCGTATTTGTGTTGCTCTTTTAGACACATTTTATTCCAATATTAAATATTTTGTCTTTTAAGACTAATTATGGGTTCTATAGAACTAGAGGGTTCTCTAAATCTTACACTTACTCCTATTGAATGTACAAGTTTCTAACTCAAATAGGAGGACTCGTGGACGACACCGGATCTAATGTGAGTGCAACAACAATAACTAAAGCTTTATGATCAACTGTCGTTGCTTTTATGGATCCTTTGTTTCTCTTTGCTCTTAACCAAGTCCACAACGATTTCGAGAGATTATAGGTCGTTTGAGATAACTTTCTCTATTATATTTTAGGTTCACCTTGTAAGTTTTGATCAGACTCGGTCATTACGGTGTCACACCTATTTGCCTATGCGTAAACGTCCAAAATTCACTTAAATATAATACTGCCTGGAATTTTTAGGGTATAGAATTTGGATCCTGCCATGTTGATAAGATGTCTTTATGACTGCATGCCATGTGAAGCATAACACTCTGGATTCCGTAATCATGATTGTTTTACTTTATTGGAACATGCAGCAAAACCTTTCAGTATGAAAAAGGTTTAAACATAGAGAAAGTTGAGCAAATGAAACTCACGGAGAAAGAATTGATTGACATGGCCAATGAAGCGGAGAGATTGCGTGCTCAGGTGGTAATTACTGAGAAAAGAGCTCAAGGTAATCAGTATGCTAATATTCGGCACATCAACATTATGCTAATTTGGGCTCCTTTTCTGTATCTAACTATCTATTGTTCATTTTGAGCCGAGGGTCTATTGTAGACAACCTCTCTACCTTTTTAAGGTAGGGGTAAGGTCTGCGTACACACTATCCTCCCTAGACTCCACTTGTAGCTATTTATCATATATGCTGAGTATTTTCATGTTCCGTAGGTATTGATCCTTATGGTCACCCCTACATGAACTCAAATCCCATGTATCCAGCTCCTCCTATGCATCTACCGGCCCATGTAGACAGTTACCAGAGATCTCATATTCCAGTAGCCCTTGGCGCTATGGGAGACTCAACGTATCCATATGGCAGTAGCGTAGCTATAAGTGCTCAGGGCGGAACGGGAGCTCCACCTCTCCCCAGTACTGATGGCAATGTAGCATGGGGAGAAAGTCATGATGCTCCACAAGCCGGGAGCTGAATTTTCTGCTGTGTAATTTTTGGTCTGCTTGTCAAAGGTTGAATCTTCGAGATGTCAACCGGTTTTGCTTTAATCCAAATTTAATTTTAACAGCTCTAATGTAAGATTTGCAGGGCTGAAACAGTAGTTCATGAGACTAGAGAATTGTACATTTCAGTATGTCAACTTAGTTTACCTGCACATTTTCTAGTCCATGGAATATTTTTTGTTTTATGGATTATTAGCAAAGGGCACTTCTTTTCATATTATTTTTTATATGTGGTTACTTGGGACGAGAGTCTTTTGGCAATGACCTCTCTACCTTCACAAATCACAAGGAAGGGTTAAGGCTAGGTATACACTATCCTTCTTGTGGGACTACACTAGGTGTGTCATCGTTGTTGTGGCAAATGATACTTTCCTATTTAAATGTGTGGTTGAATTCCCGATGCAAAGGCCCTTCAAAGTTAATTTGCAAGTATTTTTTAGTAACGATACGTATTCGGGTCAGTTTGTATGCACTTCGTTGGTTCCCAGAGGTAGAGGTGGAGCTACTTATGGTGAAGAGGTTCAATTGAATCTACATCGGTAAAATATAATACTGATTTTTAATGATACAATGTCCCGTCTATTCCAAATTGTCCAATTATCTTAGTTATACTCTTCTAGGGTTGTTTGTTATAGAGATTAGATAGACACAGTTATTTCATGGATTATAATATTCGATCACATGAATAATTAATTTCATTATTTTTACAAATAGTGGGATAAACAATCTCAAATTTAACTAATACACCTAATCAAACGGATAAAATAACAGAAAATAATCTTGTATTTTTTCTTGAGAGTATTATCCTTTAATGAAGAGATTATTATCCTTTATTACTTGTACCAAAATCGTTCGACCCAAGGAAGCCATCACACACTTTTCTGAATTTTCCTAGTTGATCTTTTAAGGAAAACATACCTTCTATTAGTTGTTTTCGAAATGTTGATTTTCTTGTCTATGCTAAGGCAACAACAACAACATACTCAATATATTTTCACAAGTAGGATTCAAAAAGATTAGAGTAAACACATATATTATCCTTACCTCGTGGAGACAGATAAGTTGTTTCCGAAAATCCTGACTCAAGCAATTCATACCAAAGCAATTTGAAAAAGAAAATACAAAAGAAAGCATAACAAATAATAGATAAAGCGTAACAATAACATTCAGAGCACCCAAAACGTTAGATAGTAACCAAAATCAAAGGACAAAGAAACTATAAAAATAATATTAATAATACTGGTATGCAAGGAGAAAAAAAAGACCCTTAGTACGCGAAAAAAGAGAGTCAAATAGAACCAACAAGCTTTGATTTCGAGTGGCATTTCACCTCTAACTACATCTCATCGCCAATTCTTCAATAGATTAATTTTTTATTTATTTGTTTCTCCAACATAAAAAAAAATACCTTTTTTGGTCAATGAAACAAAAAAAGAAAAGAAAATAATTTAGAAAAAATAAGAAATAAAATTTGAAAATAACACCCAAATGAATCGGATCCAAAATTATAAACTTATAATTAACCATTCACTAATTTTTTTTATTCTTTTCATTTTGAGTCAATTTTGAAGCTTCTTCTCTCATTGATTTGCATCAGCCATGGCCGAGGTAATGCAAAAATTTTCCAAGAAAAGACAAACCCTAGTTTTATTTTGTTTTAATTGTTTATTTTCCCTTTTTCTAAGTTTTTTTTCATTCGTTTTTGATGATTCTATAGTTATTCATGGATTTCAAAGGATTTAATTGATATATGGTAGAATAAACATAAAAGAACAGATTTTTTTTCTTATAGAAAATTTCTGTGCTTTCTTTGGCGATCTGTACAGCTTTTCTGTAGAATTCATGTTGTTGGTTGTTGTGGTTGATGTGTATGTGCTTAGATAAATATGTATAGATGTGGGAATTTTTTTTTTGTGGATAACTATGGTGTCTGGACAAGCTTGCGCGCACCTCGACTAGTGGTTGGTGTGTGTGTTTAGATAAATATGTATAGATGTGGGATTTTTTGTTTTAATAACCGTGGTGTCTCGGCCAACTTACGTGCACCTTGACTAATTCCATGGGATTCATGCCACCTCCCACTAGGTACTAGGTGACTAGAATAGATGAGAATCAATCGTCTAGTGTTTTATCTCTGCTGAGATTTGAACATGAGACCTTATGGTTCTCAACCTACTTCATTGACCACTAGTCACACCCTTGGGTGTAAGGTGAGTTTTAGTTTTGTTTTAGTCAAAGAATTGCTTGTAGAGGTTATTGGTTTTATAGGTTGTGGATGAATATGGAAGTTGGTGTATGGAAAGGTGTAATGTTAAAGTCTTTGATCTAAGCGTTTTCATGTGAGAAATAAGTCGAGAACTAAAACATGAAGGGGAAAAAAGTTGAAGAATTTGGATGAATAGGTTTCTTAATGGAAGGATTGGAGTATTGGATTCAACTAGAGTGTTGAATGGTGATAGAATGAGGAACTCTCAGCACTTTTGTGAAGTAGTACTAAGATTTAGCAGCAATTTAGATTGATGTTTGAGGTTCCACCTCCAGCTCAAAATGAGTTCTTGAAATTGTTAGTTTGTTGCCTATAACTTCGAGTATTTTGCCTTTTTAGTGAGATGGTGGTATATGATAGAGTTGATATAAAATAACAGATTTCTAAAGAAAATATCTGTAGGTTCTTCAGCAATCTATGAGTTCTCTGTAGAACCCATGTTGCTGGTTGTTGTGTATGTGCTTAGATAAATATGTATAGATGTGTGATTTTTCTTTTGTGTGTAAAAGCTGAGATTAGTTCTTTGTTAAAGAATTGCTTCGGAAGTTTATTAGTTTTATGAGTTGTGGATGAATAAGGAAGTTGGTTTTTGGAAAGGTGAAGTCTTTGATCTAATCCCTTTCTTGTAAGAAATAAATAAAGAACAAAAACAAGAAGGGGAAAAAAGTTGACAAATTTGGATGAATAGGTTGTGTAATTGAAGGATTACGGTATTGGATTCAACTAGAGTTTTGGATTGCGATTGAATGAAGAGAATTTTTGGCGGTTTTGTGAAATAGTACTAAGCTTTACCAGCAATTTAGATTGATGTTTGAGGTATGACGTCTCATCTCCAGTTAAACGAGTTCTAGAAATTGTTAGTTTGTAGCCTACACTCTTCAAGTATTTTTCGTTTTTACTGAGATGGTGGTAAGTTAATCGGAAACAGCCTCTCTACCTCCCAAGGTAGGGGTAAGGTCTGCGTATACTCTACCCTCCCCATACCTCACTTGTAGGATTACACTAGGTATGTTGTTGTTGTTGTTGGTGGTGGTGGTGATAAGTTAATCGAATTTGTAATCAGGTTAACAATTCACTTGAGGTCGATAACACATTCAGGGTTTTTACTATAGAGATTATGTAAGGCTCGTCTCTGGAAATGACTTCTTAAGCTTCTCCTCAGTATTTTTGATGACAAGGTTGCTCAGTGTCACTGCGTTTAAAAGGTGGGTCGCGTGATGTTACCAGAAACTACTGTGATGCTTTCAGCATCGTGGTAAAGATTTTTTTTTGGTTTTAGATTGTTTTCTTCTTTAATCTGATTCCACTCCAAGTAATGTGAATATGTTTACCTGTCACATTATATTTCTCAATTTAACTTACAGTTTTGGTCTAGATCTTCTGGTTTTTGTCATTCAGAAAGCTTCAGTTTTAGAAATAGAGAGCTTTTACGTCAGCAAGTATTATATTGATAAAAGGTAAAAACTAATTGTGACTAAAAATGGAAGATAAGTGGTAGTGCTCTCTTTTTTAAGGTGTTTAAGAATTTTCTGCAACTTTGTGAATGTATTTACTTCACTTGGATTACTTCGGTACTTGTTATTCATGTTTTGTTTATGCCTTTAACTCTGTGTGCCTTTCAGATTGAACTTAAGACTGCCCCGGCTGATTTCCGGTTCCCAACAACCAACCAAACTAGGCACTGTTTCACTCGCTACGTTGAGTTTCATAGGTAAATTCCCATTAATTTTACAGAATTTGGTGCTTCATAGACTTGTTTCTTCTGTTGCTTGGTTGCCAATTGAATCAGTTTTTGACCATTATTTTCATATCCGTAATAATGTGAAAAGAAGGCCCGGCTCCAAGTTGTTCAAGAATAGTGGCGTTGAGTTTCTGTGTAAAGCATGACGTTTAAAGATTAATAATCCCTTTAATAGACTTGGGAATTGATCTTTATTTCTTCTCTGAAATAGAACAATGAAAGGCTTGGTCTAGGCTAGTGTCCACTAAATTAAAATCATCTGCTAAACTAGGGACTAAACTCTCAATATTGAAATTTTGCTTAAGACGGTTTGAAATCCTGCTTAATGCATGCCTTTCTGCACTGAAACAAGAATTAATTTTACGACGTAATTAATTGTGCGTTACTCTAACCGAGGGTCTTTTGGGAACAACCTCTCTACCTCCTCGAGGTAAGGTAAAGGTTTGCGTACACTCTATTCTCTCCAAACCCCACTTATGGGACTGCCCTGGGTTTTTTTGTTGTTGTTGCTGTGAAGATGCACTTATCATCCTCCCATCCATTAACCAAAAAATGGTAAAGAGAAGAAATGGTGGATTTAGTCAAGTATGGGGTGGAATTGGTTCAAGATCTGATAAAGTCTATTGATTTACACGTCCAACCTTTTGAGAAAAAGGAAAAAAATGTCCGTCCAATATTTGTGGTCACCTTTTAGAAGATCGTTTAACTTGATACTGCCTTTTCTAACCTTGTGAACTTGAATTGTTCTTGCAATATGTGGATCATCAGAAGTTGTTACTCTGAGGCATAGTCATTTTGTGGTTGTTTTACCAACTCTTGCTTCTTCACAAACCTCAGGTGTGTTGCTGCAAAGGGTGATGAGGCTGCTGACTGTGAAAGATTCGCAAAATACTACCGTGCACTTTGCCCTGGTGAATGGGTGAGTCATGTGCTTATTAAATTGTATTTTGGTGTAGTTAAAGTGATTAGGTATCTTCTAATTTGTGGTGGGTCGTAGTACATCGCTTTGCTTTTTCGCATTACCCCTTCCATTCCTCAATTTTTTTTTACTTGCCTATGAAAATTTTACAGAAGTTTAAGCCATAATTTGAGTTGAAAGGGCACTTCAATATAGACAATGACTTTGTGAATTTGCGTATGATCCTTGAGTCGGAATTCTCTGCCTGACCAAAGTACTTTTCCTTTTCTCTTCAAATAGTACACATGGATGTGTTAAATACGTATGTGAGTCTAAACCAACCTTTTCTAGTTTGAAACCAGTGTGGGCAAAAAAAGGTTCTCTATGGCGTTAACGCTGCAGGGATCTCACTTCTGCATTCAGTTTTATTATGTTTTCTGTTTTCTGAAGCTTTCAGCTAGTGGCCATTAGGTGAATTTTGTCATCGGCACAGAAGATTGACGTAAATCTGGCCAAATAGAAGAGATATCTAGGTTGTGTGCATGAATATTGAGCAGCTTATTGAGTGCCTACCACATTTCTCCATCTTTTCTTGATGTGGGAGAAGGACTAGGTGATTAGGTGTGTCATGACATGCTCCGTGAATACATCCTATCCTCGTTCACGATATGCCATAGTTCCAGGCTTTTCATCAGATCAGTGATCCACTCTATTACTATCAGATTGTGTGTTAGGTATCTCCTCTTTCGGGTGACGATTAGCAGTCTCGTGCATTTATCATTTGTCAATCAAGTCTGTGGGCATGTCTGTGGTGCTACAAGCATTACACAGGAAGTGATTCTAAAGCCAGTTTCCGGGAAAAAAGAGATAATGTGATTGGTGATTTGTCTATGTGAATGCTCAGTCATTTTTAACTCCTAATCCTTTTAATTTTCTTAACACATTTGGATTCATATGCCTTTACCTCCTAATTTGATGTCAACTATTGTTAACTATTTCAATTTACATGATAATCTACAACTTGGATATGTAGGGGACTCTCAATTTCTTAAAATCAAAACACCACCCAAATAATTTGCTATACGCAAACCAAAGGATTCTACCTCCACGAGGTAAAGGGGTAAGGTCTGTGTTTACTCTACCCTCTTCAGACCCCGCTTATGGATTACACAAGTAAATTAAAACGACTCCTTATAAACAATATTGGATTTAGTGCAACTATACCAATGGTGAGTAAGACTCGGTCCCAACTAGCTGGAATCATCAAGTCCCTTGCTTCTATCGTGTTGTGTTTTTATCTAAATTAAAGGTTTTACAATCCAGTGATTTTATTCCTTTATTTTGTCACAAGTAGATATCTCATGTCATAGCCTATATATGACATTTGTCATGTTGTTCCGACTCCCTACTGTTCGACCTTTTGATGCTGAACTAAGCTAAAATCTATGGCTGGTTTTTTCATGTTGCGAATTCCTTCATCTTTTCTCATCATGGATATCGTGTTTTCTTAATTCTCGCCTGTTTCTGCAGGTTGATAAGTGGAACGAGCAGAGGGAGAACGGGACTTTCCCAGGCCCTCTTTAATTAATAACCATCAAATTTGCAGCATCCTTTTGGTTATTATGAAGAAAGCATTTGTTTGCATTGATATGTTGTTCTTGTTTGAATTTTCAAGGGATCAATAAGGAAAACTTCTTTCTACTTGTTATTTTCACTTGAAAAAGCCTTGGGAGCTTTATACAGTTTCTCAGTTTTTCATTTCATGGATATTTATTCTTATTCTGTTTAAAGATATGGTTTTTTTCTTCTCTCATGTTGGGAATAAGTATAGCTCTTTCATTAAGAAAGAGGATTGATTATATGCTGAATTTTGTTTTACTTGAGCCGAGGGTCTTTCAGAATTAACCTTTACCTTCATAAGGTAGGGGTAATGTCTGTGTACACACTAACGAAAGAGCTAAGCAGATTTCACTTGTGAATACATGACGTTTTTTTACCTATGTTATTATCACTTCACCATAGTGAAAATTGACGTTGGAAGCACCCAAGGGTGTGATTTAATAGTCAATGAAGTGGGTCAGGAATCATGAGGTTTTACCATCTCAGGTTCAAAAATCGACGCAAGTAAAATTGTTATGTGATTTCTTTTAACATCTATTCAACCTTGATGGACAATACCTATGTTGATTGGAGATAGTACGTACTTAGTAGAATTAGTCATACATAAATTGGTTTAGGTATCATGATTTCTTTTTAAATGTTGGAATTATGTATTCATCAACATGGTCAAGTGTGTAGTTGGCATAATTAAAAAGCAATATTCTTAATTTTAATTCATTTATTTGTTAATTATGTAGGTCTTAACTTATGTGTATATTTAAATATGAAAAAAAAAACATAAGTAGACATTTTTTTATTAATACTTAGTACATCTTTCTTCTCTTTGCTGTCTTGGTCAAATTCAAAACAATAATAAAATGAATATTTTTTAGGATTATAAGTGTACTTTTGTCATTTAATCCAAAAAAAAATAATTAAGGAATTAGGTTTATCTAAGCTGTGTTATACATGTGATATCCCTCAAGTCAATGGAATTTTTTTTTCTCACTTTTTTTTAATATCTTCCCTTTTTTTTTAAAAAAAAATGGTGGGAATTTCAAGGTGGCTTTTGTTTGAAAGATTGAAAAATAGATATGTGTGAATTGGGGTAAAATGGTGAAATATCACACATTTAATCAGAAATATCAAATCTGTAAATCAAGAAAATTGTATTGAAAACGTTATTCTAAAAATAGGAAAATGAGTCCAAATTATATAATATGATAAAAAAGGAAGAGTACATTGAATGAATTAATGACTGATATTTTTAAGAACATTCCAAGAAAGTTCATTATTAGTATCTTATGTTAAAAAAAAAATGCTCAAGAAACTTTCATATTTTACTCGTTACGCGTACTATACCAAATCTGGTCAACATTAGTATAAACTTTATAAATATCCCATTGCCTATGTGTGGCCTATATATGGATTATTTTTATTGTCATATAAAATATTTCTACCACTATTATTAAAATATATTGATCGTAATGATAACGTTTATTGTTGTGTGATTAGAAGGTTATTGATTTAAACAAATAAAAAATAATTTTTCTGAATCGTAAAATTTAGTGTATCGAATTGCTCCTTCATTATTATTATTAATTGACGACTTCAGAATTTCCAATGAGGAAAGTCAAATTAATTCTTTCTTCTGACCTATTTGCATAGTAAACTTCTCGACAAAATTACTTAATCCGAAGATTTACTGAAAATAACTTCTCTTTTTGTTAAAGTGAAGTTATGTACACGTTACTCAATTCTTCAGACTCCACTTATAAAATTGTTATATTATTTTTCTTCTTTTGTATCCTTAAAGACCTTTTCAAATCATATACGTAATAATTCAACTACGTGTGTAATGAAAATGATATTTTGGAACTTTCAAGACTTCTTCACCATTTATATATTTAGAAAAATATAAACAAAGAAAACTTCTTCACCACTAGTGAAAAAATACATTAGTCTAAAGAAAATTATTGCAATTTAAGATATTTTAAGCTTTAATGAAAGAACATTATATTGTAGGACCATTTAATTAGAACGGTAGGTTTGGTGTAAAATCATGCTACTTTTGGAAGCTTATTAAAAGATAAATATGAGAGATTGAGATGGTTGTGATTTATGATTAATTGAAAATTCGATACAAAAATAAAGGAAAGAGCGGAAAATTTTTCATGAGGAAACCAAGCGAGTCTATGGAATAATTTTTAAGTCTCGTTGCAAATTTGAAAGATTAAAAAACACAATTGAAAAATATTTATGATTATAGATTGATCATGCTTAAGGCGGAATTAAAGCTCAATATTTCTACATATAAAAGCTAATAAATTTATACACGACTTACCTAATCATAAAATTAAAGTAATTTAACATCTTTTAAAACCTTAATACTCTATCATAAATACTATATAATCTTATAAAAATTAATATCGTCCATCCGAATCGTCTCATTTATAACTAAAAGAAGTGGATGAAGATACATATTTTTTTCATTTGAAGATATTTTTTCCTATTACTTTTTATTCTCTTTCCATAACAATAGTTCTTTTTATTCACCAAGTAACATAAAAAAAATTGACGGTTACGGTTTGCTAACTAATGTGGGACCCACACTTCTCATCGATGAAAAATCTTAACGTAATTGATAAAGTATCAAAAAATTACAAATTTGAGATCGTAAAAACAAACTTCTTACGAAAATATAGAATAAAGACTGCATATAATAAACTCTTGTGATTTTTTTATTTTTTTTAATATTAATCGTATAACGAAAGTTTAGTGCATCGACCCGATCTTTCCGACCCCAAATTAGTTAATTCCACGCGCTACACGTCTTGGTAAACTTCTTAGCCCCTTCCTCTCTCCCTTCCCACTGTGTTCTTCTCCATCTCACCTATAACTTCTCCAGTTTTACATATTTTATATATATATATATATATACCTATAACTTCACCACAATCATCTTATTCTCTCTGAAATTCAGTTTTGTCATCTGGGTCTGTTTTGTTTTTGCTCATTCTTGAGTCTTTCTCTTGTGGGTATTCCTTGATTTTGCTCAAAACCGTCAAATTTCGAATATTTCTGTTGTGGGTCTGTCTCGTTTTGCTCAAAGTTTGAATCTTTCTATTGTGGGTGTCTCTTGATTTTGCTGAAATCCTTGAAAAATGGTGCGTTGTAGCAACAATTTAGTGGGGATTCTGAATATAGTGACCCTTTTGTTGTCGATCCCAATTATAGGAGGAGGGATATGGTTGTCAAGACAAGCAAATACAGAGTGTGAGAGGTTTCTTGAAAAGCCAGTAATAGCAATAGGAGTTTTTATATTGCTTGTTTCATTGGCTGGTATAATTGGATCTTGCTGTAGAGTGACTTGGTTACTTTGGGTTTATCTACTTGTTATGTTTTTGTTGATTTTGCTACTTTTCTGTTTCACAATCTTTGCTTTTGTGGTGACTAATAAGGGTGCTGGTGAAAAAATTTCTGGTAGAGGGTATAAGGAGTATAGATTTGGGGATTATTCTAATTGGTTGCAGAAAAGAGTTGATAAGAATTGGAATAGAATTCATAGTTGTTTGCAGGATAGTAAGATTTGTGATACCTTGATTCAAGGATCTAATACTAAAGCTGATGATTTCTTCAAGGAACATCTATCTGCTCTTCAGGTATATACATATTTGATTTGAGTTTTTAATGTTTATGCCTGTATTGTGTACTTGATTTGCCAAATTGTTACTTTTATGTGTGTATAGTAGATGATGTATGTAATACAAGATGAACCCCCTTGATGAAATTGATGAAAATCGTGTCTCCGTCGCAATCATGCCTTAGGGAGGGAATATCACACTGTATATATATGGTCAAAATAAGTTTACGTGTATATAGTAGATGATGAATCTCCTTGATGAAAATCCTGTCTCTGTCGCTGGTTTTGTTTTGTACATGAAAATCATGCCTTAGGGGGGACCCCTTCACCGGAATATTACACCTTATATATAAGGTCAAAATAATTTTACGTGTATATAGTAGATGATGAAAATCTTTCCTCCATGGACCCTGATGCCGGAATATCATACTATATATGTAAGGTCAAAATGTTATTTTTTTAGGTGTATATAGTCGCTGTTGGTTGTGTTTTGTTCATGTTGTGTGCTTCTCTATGGTATCTGTTATTTTCTAGATCTATATATGTTCTTGAATAAGCTAAGAGGTAACTTTTGGTCTTGCTTTTATGAAATCTAATTATTTGCTTATGAATTTCGGGGGGGGGGGGGGTTTTTGGGTTTATTAAA